CAATCAAAAGGGATAAAACACACCTTACACTCTTTATCACTCCAACTGTTTTGAAACGTGCATCGATCGCAGAACTTACTCGATGCATCCTCATCAACATTAACCTCAACTTCAGGCAAACCATCCTCAAGTGACTTGAGAAAGTAATGGAAGTAATTACCAGTGTTTTTAGTTCTGGTTTCCACTTTATGCTTGAAGCAAATGATATCTTCAGCTGAGATGACTCCATTAATCAACGAATGTAGACTCTCTTTGTGCTTAAGTAGAACTGTGTTAGCTTCTCCTTGAATGTGATCAAGGTAAAGCTTCTTCGGGGTTTGGTCCTCGATCATGAAATAACCAAACAATGAACTCCATTCAGGACTTAGCTGCATTGAACAACAAGCATCGCTGCTTCACTCAAAGCCCTCATGTCTTGCTCGCCTAAACCGCAATCCTCGGTTAGTATCGGGATGATTTTTTCCTCGATTGCGTTCAGATCGGATTTAGTTTTCACCAATGCTTCATCAGTTGCCTCCCAGAGACTCAGGTGAGAAGTTAGAGCGCATACAATCGATGGAACATAGACTTGTTTACAATTCCATTTTCCATTGTGCTCTTCCTCAGATTGGAAGCAGAACCAACAGAAGCTACGACTGATTTACACAAACAAGTAAAGCAAAACAGAACCATGAGTTTAAAGATCTATTTTTTTAAGCATTAGAAAGGGAAAAAAAAAACATACCCGCAGATACAAGCTATGAGCCTTAAATCAGGATCACCATTCTTCTCCACATTCTTGCAATGAGGACAAGGTTTGGTGTTTTTATTGATCCAAACAAGGCTCATCGCTACACCGAAGAGACAATTCAGCCAAAAGAAAGCATTGTGACAAGTCAGGGTCGGTGTGAATCTAGCTTGCATTTCCAACAGAAAATGTGACCACATAAACACACCACATCAGAATCCTACTGCTCCTATATTTTTGCAACATATTCTTTTCACGATCCAATATCTTCCCCATTACTCCTCGAGATTTGCTCCTTGACCAAATCCATTTGTTATCAATTAGCTCACCTTTAGTCTGTAGCTTTCGGGTAATTCATCTAATTGTCCCCAAAAGCCTTCGTTGAATGGGCAAATATCTCTTCTGAATGAGTTTTTTCCGTTGGCTAGGTTTGGTACAAAGCCAACACCAATAATTGTCCTTAGCCCTTTAAGCGATACATGGAAATCTTGAAGGGCAAGAATATTTTGTCAAACCAATTCTTGCAGAGTAGATAAATTCGAGTTTATCTCGAGGAGTAATGGTGAAGATATGGGATCCTGAAAAGAATATGTTGCAAAAATATAGGAGCAGTAGGATTCTGATGTGGTGTGTTTGTTGGTCACATTTTCTGTTGGAACTGCAAGTTAGATTCACACTGACCCTGACTTGTCACAATGCTTCCCTTTGGCTGAATTGTCTCTTCGGTGTAGCGATGAGCCTTGCTTGGATCGGTAAATTTATCAGACGTTGTCCTAAATGCAAGTATGCAGCATAAGTGTGCAGAAGAATGGTGATCCTGATTTAAGGATCATAACTTGTATCTGCGGGTATGACTTTTTTCTTTACTTTCTTACGCTTAAAAGGTTTAGATCTTTAAACTCATTGTTATGTTTTGCTTTTACTTCTTGTGTAAATCAGTGGTAGCTTTTGTTGGGTCTGCTTCCGATCTGGGGAAAAACACAATGGAAAATGGAATTGTAAACAAGTCTCTGTTCTATTGATTGTATGCGCTCTAACTTCTCACATGAGTCTCTGGGAGGCAACTGATGAAGCATTGGTGAAAACTAAATCCGATTTTAACGCAATCGAGAAAAAAAATCATCCTGAAACTAACCGAGGATTGCAGTTTAGGCGAGCAAGCCATGAGGGCTTTGAGTGAAGCAGCGATGTTTTGTTGGTCAATGCAACCAAGTCCTGAAATGGAGTTAATTGTTTGGTTATTTCATGACCGAGGACCAAACCCCGAAGAAGCTTTACCTTGATCACCTTTAAGGAGAAGCTAACACAGTTCTACTTAATCACAAAGAGACTCTACATTCGTTGATTAATGGAGCCATCTCAGCTCGAGATATCATTTGCTTCAAGCACAAAGTGGAAACCAGTACTAAAAACACTGGTAATTACTTCCATTACTTTCTTAAGTCTCTTGAGGATGGTTTGCATGAAGTTGAGGTTAATGTTGATGAAGATGCATCGAGTAGGTTCTGCGATCGATGCACGTTTCAGAACAGTTGGGGTGACAAAGAGTGTAAGGTGTGTTTTATCCCTTTTGATTGTGTTCCTCCTACTCCTCCTTCTTCTGTGGATTTTGGTAACAACAACACTTGAAATGAACAAGTCCTGAACATGTCCAAGAATCCATTTGGTAGTGAAGAATGAATCAATCCATGAAAATTCGATTGAGGATGAGAGTCTCTTTTGTTGTTTGTCGTTTTGAGTTTTAAGTCTTTAAGATTCTATTGTTTTGTCGTAATAAGTTTTTATGTGTTGTTTTGAGTCTAACTCTTTGAGAGTCTGTTTTATTGTTTGTCGTGTTGAGTCTGGAGATTTAAAGAATGGTTTTTAACGATTTTTTATTTTCCTAAGGTGTTGGATCTTCAATCCATCATATTATCAATAATATAGTCTTGTTTCATTTATCATAAGCTTGTTTTTTCTTTGCATTTTCATATTATAATTATCACTTATATATCAGGACGTTGTTGACAAAAAAAAAATATCTGGACGTTATTAACATAGAAATGCAAAGAAACAATGCCTAAAAATCATGTTTTAGATAAATTTTGTTGAGACTAATTAAACTATGTTTTTTTTTGGCTAAAAA